TGTAGATGAAACCCTAGTGTGTGACTAGTGTGTTGAGCAGTACTTTCATGTGGTACTAACTGTGGCCCATAACAGCACCCATTGCCATTATTGCTGTCTTCACTTTTCAAGTATGATGTTTGAATGTGATTGGTATATTGCAGATCCAGCACAAGTGATTGGTCTATTTCCTGAACTTCTTCCAAGTGAATTTCGAAAGCAACTTGAGTACCCTGCTCCACCCCCTCAGTTAACAGCTGGGGAGTTGGAGAAAGGCTGTTTAGCTCTGGTGGAATATCTGACTCAGGTAATGTAGATAATTTCATGTATCTTTTTTTGGGAGCAGGGTTGCAGAGCTTGAAAAAAGTGCCATCTGGTCATCCAGAACAAGTAGATTCTCCTTCTGGGCAGCTACATGTAACTTTTCATTATCACTTGCCCATTGGGCAAGGGATCAGGCAAGTTGTCTGCCAACTAAATCATTGAAAGAGCAAACAAAGATTTTCCCAGGGCAAGCAATATTTGAGAGATACTTGTTCTAAGGGCGAACTGGAATTCAATTTTTTTTTCAAGCTCTGGGCCTTCCACTGTTCTTTTTGTTTAGTTTTTTAACTCGTCTGATCTATCTTCTAATAATGTCAGAATGCTACTTTCTCACCAGAAAAGAAATGAGCTTATGAATTTAAGCACTGACAAAACAGATGGTGCCCAGAAGGGAAGGAGTAAAACCGAGTCTACAGAAGAAAACAGTAAAGGTAAGTTTTAGACTGAAAGCCTGGGAGAATTGAAAGAAAAATTCTTCATTCAAACAAAAGCCATTACTAATGAAATTTCATTTGTGTATCATATTTTTTTTTCTTTTTTGCAAACTTCCAGCTGATATAAAGGCTCAGAAAAATATCATGCACAGAAGGCAGATCATCGACACCACATTACTAAAATGCTACTTACAGGTCAGTACAGTCAGCTTGTGTTAAATCATAGAGGGTATATGAAGAGTGTTTTGAAGCGGTAGGGCTTCAGGGCTCTTTCCGTCCATCTCCACACTGTGGTTGACCTTTTCTGAGTGATTATCTCTTGTGAGGGACCACACTTGAAATATGTCAAATCTTATTATGTTGCTTAATTGCTGGAAATGGCACTGGTAAGTGAACAATTTGTGGGATGTTCCTGCCATGGCTTGTCAGAAGAGGTTGTATGGTACAAAATGCATACACCAGGGGTCACTTTTGGACCTGAAAAAGTGTCCACATGGGAGACCTTGGACCACACCTTATTGTCTGCTTACGGGTGTCCCTGAAGTAGAGTCTTGACAGGCCTAGCTTACAGAAAGGAAGGAAGAAACTACAGAGGCTGAGTTAATCCCCCGTATAAGTCTCATTCCTAAGGTGATGCCTCTGAAGTTAATTTTAAATCACTCCTGGATTTTGAAATCCTACAAGTGTCTAGAAATGTCCAATCCTGTGATTCATATTTTGTTCACTTAGAAAGCCCAGCCTCTGCTAAAATATCCATGCGACCTTTGTGGTAAAATTGTCAGCTGAAGAACTGGGTACCATGTCTTAAAATAACTTGAGAAGGATTATTTCTGGAAGACCTACATGGTGGATTAACTCTTTTACTCTTCATGCTCACATGTGCCAGGTTGTTCAAAGATGGATTAAGCTAACCCAGGATTAGTGAGAACTTTGATTTCAGTTTTGTAACTCATTGGTGAGGTTTTCTGTTTAAATTTCTTTGTCCTTCAGTTTTGAGCTTGAGTAATTTCAAACTACACAAAGCATAAGAAGTGAAAATCATTTTTATACAAGAAAACTTGATAAATACTAAGGTAAAATTTAATCCTGAGTTAGCATTAAGTGGTTTTCAAGCAACCCAGGCCTGGTTACAGAAGTTTCCACTGTAGTTTAATGGCAACTTGTGTAAAGACTCCTCAGCTTGTGTTGTTTGTTGTTTTGCAGACAAATGATGCTCTTGTTGCACCATTGTTAAGATTAAAAGAGAACAACTGTCATGTTGAAGAGTGTGAAAGGGTTCTAATGAAAAACAAGAAATACAATGAACTGGTGATTCTGTACCAGACCAAAGGTCTTCACAAGAAAGGTGTGATCAGCATTCATTTTCTCCTTATGTTATTGGTAGATTGTCAAGTAGACAGGTGTTGAGAATAAAGAAAATTGCCAAGAATATGGCCTATCTCCTGCAGTGGGAGAATGCAGAAATAGTGAGCAGAAGGTCAAAGGTTCGACTGTTGTTGTGAGAACTCAGAATTTTTTCCCGAGTGTCTTGTGCCTTCAGCTGATAAATATCCATCAGGTCACCATAGAGGGACTAGCAGGGCTTTGCCCTTCGCCTTTGCTTGTGCCACAGTGTACGAGAGCCTGCTTGCAGACCAGTGAAAACAAGGTAGCTAAGAAGTTGTACATCTGTTTTTTTTTTTATTATATGGCTAGCTCTTTGAGTGGGCAAGATAAATCAAATCCTGCACTGTGATTGGCTGCCCAAGCAGGCAAGATGGCGCTGTCACTATGGACTACTCAGTGTGTCCCGCAAGAAAATTTCCTGAAAGCCATATAAATCCTTTATTAACCAAGCTTGTTCGGTCAAGATGGCTGGATATTGGCCTCGTTCTTTTTTTTTTTTTTTGCAAGTTTATGGACCTTGACTCCGTCTCGGTCTGTAAACATGCAAAAACAAGAACTTAGCGCAATATTCAGCCATCTTGACCTCATGCTTCGTCAATAACACATATTTATGTCATAACTCATCTTGTTTTGATTTTTCTTTGATTAGCATTGGATCTCTTGTTAAGACAAGCTCAGAAATCCAGCGGTTTGCTAAAAGGCCACCAGAGAACAGTTCAATATCTTCAGCATTTAGGTAATGTGAGAAGGAAATAATGAATACTATTCTAATTTGATAAAATGCAAATTCATGTATACAGCATGTGTATATATGTTATCCCTCCTGCGTTCAAAATGTGGCTACCTTTTTGAAGTTTACAGTATGGTATGGTTACATTTTAAGCTCTCCTTGTTCTTTATTGCTATCAAAGAGTATAATTGACTTTTATTTCTCTCCATTGGTTTATTTCAGGTCACGAACAGTTAAAACTAATTTTTGATTTTTCCGTGTGGGTGTTAAAAGCTCATCCTGATGATGGCTTAAAGGTAAAACTTGCCATTTGATTCTAATTTGGACTTGTTTCTTGATTTGCAGGAGAAACTAAGAAGAGAAAACTTACTTAGGTCTACAATAATAGTTTGGTTCTGTGGAGCATTACTTAACAAATGATAGGAAGCTATAATGCCCTTTGCATTCAGAAGTGTTTTGTTTCCCTTCCTAGATATTTACAGAAGATTTGCCCGAAGTTGAAGGATTGCCTCGGGACAAAGTCCTGGCCCACATAGAGCAGTGTGCTAAGCAGTTAACCATCAGATACTTGGTGAGTAGATAGAGCCAGTACTAGCCTGCCAGCAGGCGCGCATGTGCTGCGGAACGAGTGGCGAAGCCGACTGTACCGTTGCAACGCTACAGCCGACAAGCGAAGCGAGCCTGCGGGGGACCTGGCACGAAAGACTGATAGCCTCCTATTTTCCGTTCCAGGCCGCTGTCCGGCTCATTTTCAAGGGGTCCCTCGGGGTTAAGTGGAATGAATGACACTTCATACTAACTTTGAAGTAGTCAATGCTTTCTTCCTACCATGTGAATGTGAAGATGTCTTTTTGTATTTAGGAACATATAATCTTCATCTGGAATGAATCAAAGCCTGAATTTCACAACAAGCTTATCAACAGTTACCGTGAAAGAGTGCAAGTTTTGATGAAGGAATATTTAGACTCGTTACCTGAAGGTTTGTATTTATTCTTAGTTTTTTTTTTCTTTTTTTTTTTTTTTTTGTTTGCGCTTGTTCCTGCAAAATAGCAGAGGTATTGTCACAATCTTTATCTAGACAAGAACCCAAATTCTCCCAAAGCGAATCATAGGAATTGTATAAAACAGCAAGGAAAATTTTGATTTTGATTGGTTGTTAGGTGACGAGCCATTTCCTCCCGGAAGTGAACCTGGTGAACTGGGCGAGTTAAGAGGAAGATTACTGTTCCTGTTGGAGACTTCTAAATATTATCAAGCACAGCATCTGCTGACACACTTTCCAGAGTGTAAGTCATGTATCTTTTACGTCTTTGTGTTTAATTTAAGCTCATTTTTATGTAAAAACTAACAGAACAAAACAAAAGAATAATAAAAAACCCGAGCATTTTTCGTCTAGACAGAGGACACACCAGACAAGGCAGTTCCCGCCAAAATTGACGCGGCCGTCCAACGTTAGCGCGTTTACCGTTCCCGTTAAAACTATCGTTACCGAATGTAAATAGAAGTTCAGAGCCTGAATTGGTGTGAAATTTTCTGTTTTTGAATCATTGTCTGAACTCTTAGCAATGTACGCAGATTATGTAGGAGAATTTACTGATTGTTCCTCGTCAGATTTCTTTCTGTTACCGTACTATTTGTAACTTCTATCATTACAAACTTCGTGCACATTGGACTGTAAATTATTTCAAAGCTTAAGGCCTCGTCCACACTACACAGGAGGAATTTGAAAACGGAGGTTTCACTCTGAAAACGCATCAAATGTTTTCCGTCCACACTACGCCGGAGAAATTGGAAGACGCAACAATCACCGGTCATTTTGGATTTGTGTTTGAGTAAAACTCGGACTGAAAAATCACATGATTCTCGTAACCTCATCGTTTTCGAAAAGCTTCGTTTTCAAAATGTTTTCTGTGCGCACTAAAACGCAAAACCGAGGTTTTCAAATTCCTCTGGTTTGAAGAGCGTTTCCGAAAAGCTCCGTTTTCGTGACAGACTAGTGTGGACGGAAGGCCCATCCGGAGAAATAAGGCTACGTTTTCAAATTCCTTCGGCGTAATGTGGACGGGGGCTAAGGGAATGAAACTCATAGGTGACGTGAAGTCTTTGGTTTTATTTAGAAGCTGCGACTTATGATGGTATCCTTGTCTCTTGCAGCTTTCTATCATGAACGAGCCCTTTTGCTGGGGAGAGTAGGAAGACACGAGGAAGCTCTCGCCATTTATATCCATGTTCTTCACGACGCCAAACTTGCAGAAGAGTAGGTGGACTGTTTTTTTATTCA